TCCTATCTTTGGACTTTCATCACAGTGCCCTTTACACTGTTCACAAATTTGAGTTCATCTGCAAGGAGGGGGAGAATAAAATAAAAATAAATCAATTGTCATACCAAAGAAAGAGAGAGAAGAAATTATGCTAGACTTCTTTCTTATTTGAACCAAAAAGATGCTCTGATTCAAACATGATTGAACAAAGTATGAATCTAGTGAAAAGAAGTTTAACGGTCAATGGTTGTTAGTACTAGACTTGTAACAAGGTATTTTTATTTCCACAGATTGCCTGTCAAGCTATAATATTTTGGGAAGGTACAAGAGAACGATCTAAAGAGCTGGAAAAGGAGCTTAAAAAAGGAAGAATGGTAAATATTTAAAAATAATCAGAAGGTAGTGTAGATTTATCTTGACCTATTTTCAAAGATAGAACTAGTACAAAAATACTTGTCTGCAAACTAGCTGTAATTTGCTTTCCCTTCTTCAATCGTTCTTAATTTTCCTTGTATGCTTTCCTGTTTTCTCTGAAAAATTATAAACATTTTTTAAAAAATATTTTCTTTATTCAGGACTTTTCTATATGCATATTTGTAACATTTTTTCCAATTTTCATTAGCCTATGAATTTGAAATATTATAAATAATTATATACACAAGTATTCATATAACCTTGGCACACGCTTTCTGTTAATTTCTCTAATTGTGTGTGGATTTTGAGCTAAAAAACTATAACACAAAACTCTTCCAATTAACATAAGTTAGTTTAAAATATGTATCTCACTAAAAATTTTCCCATCTCTATTTGTAAATGCCATGATTGTAGATTAGTTTATTTTCTCCTGCATTAAATAAAAACAAACAAATAAACAAATGCACCCCAAAAAAACCCTACTTTTTTCAGGCTCATTTTTCTTATTCATTCAAGTTAAAGAAATGGAGATTTAGATATATCCATGTCAAAATCAAACCTAATGAAATTCTCATCACTCTGCAAATTCAATAGGTATTGCTGTGGTTTCCTTTATATGAGAGAGAGAGAGAGAGATAGAAGATAGGCAGGCAGGCAGACAATGCCTTCAAGTCATTGTTGACTCCTGATGACTGCTTGGACAAATCTCTGCATTTTTTTGACAGGTTTTTAGAATGTGTTTCCTGTTGTCTGTTTTCCAGGGCCAAGAGAGAGTGACTGGCACAAAGTCATCCAGCTGGCTTTATGCCTAAAGCCAAACTAAAGATCTCCTACATTCAAGGCACTTTTAAGAATAAAATATCTATTAAAAATACTTGGCTATCTAGTCAGCATATCAATAATGGTCAGGTACACAAACATTTTGACCAAAGCATCACACCCTTTCTTGAAAAAAATGAAAGAATTAAATGTGTGGTTTTTTTAAAAAAAAAATCGTCTCATTCTTTGGTTTTAAATGTTACATTACCTCCATTGTGTTCAAAATTCTCATTAAATTTTGAAGGACTAGATGTAGCAACCATTAGCTATGGAGAATAAAGCTGGTCCATTTAGAATTTAAATGGAGGCACTAGATGCATTTGTTGGTCCACAAACATTTTAAAACTAGTTCCCATTTCTTATTTATTTTTGACAGGAAACATGTACCTCATTGTACATATTTCTTCAGTAGTTCAACCCCAAATCAGCCTTTCTTGGCAATAGTGGCCTCTTTCCTAAATCATCACACAGATGATGAAAAATGTGAGAAAAAAATAATCTATTCTAAGATATTAAAAATCTTAACAAATGGAAGATGGTAGGATAATTTGTATACATGTAGTCCTCGATTTATGACCACAATTGAGCCCAAAATTTCTGTTGTTAAGTGCGACATTTGTTCAGTGAGTTTTGCCCCATTTTACGACCTTTCTGGCCACAGTTGTTAAATAAATCATTTCAGTTGATAATTTAGTAACATGGTTGTTAAGTGAATCTGGCTTCCTTGTTGATTTTGCTTGTCAAAAGGTTGCAAAAGAGGATCACATGACATTGGGACACAGCAACCATCATAAGTATGAACCAATTGCCAAGCATCTGAATTTTGATCTCATGATCATAGAGATGCTACAAAGGTTGTAAGTATGAAAAATGATAAGTCACTTTTTCAGTGCTGTTGTAACTTTGAACAGTCATTAAATGAACTGTTGTAAATTGAGGACTACCTGTATTTTTTATATTATATATTTTAAGGGTGTAACTGTCCAGCATTACCATACTTGTGTCAATGATAGTGACATGCATGTGAACACTAGACATTTTCAAGAGCAGCCTGTTTTATGTTCCCAAGGGTTTTTCTTTTTCTTTTGAACTCATGTCAGAAGCACCAAGGTACACTTCCAGGTTGAAAGGATCAGCCGGTGACATCACTGTTCCCTGGGGGACACCCAGTTGGGGGCTCTTTTCATGTCCCTGGAAGGAGCTGGAGCAAAGGACAGGAGCTCAACCCTGCCCCATGCAAGCACCCAGATCTTGAACGCGGGCTTGTTAACCTCCAACCTACCATCCTAACCACATGAGCCACTGTGCTCCACTTGTTCCCAAGTTATCAGTCCATAGTAAAAAATATGTGCAATCTAATGTGGATTTTACCTCCTGCTATACTAATTTCTAATCCTGTGAAAATGTAAATAATTGTTTCTTCACTCTCACAGAGAAAAAGCTGAAAAATGGCATGTATACTCTTTTAAGATTTCTGTCATAAATTGTATGTTCTTAATGTAAACTACCTTATGAAAAATAATGTTACTCTTTTCATCCACAGTTGTAGTAGTTTATCAGCACAGTGCAGTTTTTCTTAAAATTTCCTTTTCAGCTTCCTGTCTTTTGACATTGAAAGTAAGTCGAATATGCTAAAAGTCATGAAAGCTGACTACATGTCCCATGCTGTGATTTTTGGCTTCCTGCATATGGTAACATAGTACCACAAGCTGTGAATTCACGAAAGAATAGAATTACTTTTGACTTCTCACCAAATTTAATAGCAATATCTCAAACATCTGTGTCTAAAGGTCTTGGCCGTACCAAATCTGCAGCTGTTCAATGGAAATCTGCTGAAATAATAAAATGGTGAGAAATACAATATCAAAACCAAGATTCCTCATCAGTTTTCTCAAGCAACTGTAAGGGTGGAACTTTAAATGAATCATTTCTTCATGTGTTCATGATGTAACATGACATTTGTCAGAAAGATTAACACTGAAACTCTGTGTGTATTGATTATAACTTTTTCACAGTTATTTTTTGAGATAATACTTGTAAAAATCTGACGCAGTTCATCTGGAGAAACCTGGTTGTCTATATAACATTAAGAAAATTAGTTCAGCATATCTAGTAGTTAAAAACTATACAAGGGACATAGGAAAGTGCTCTCAATAGCTATCAGTACAGTGTTTGAAAAAGAATCACACATCCCACTTTATGGACAGTCTGAAGTGAGATGCCAAAATCTGTGGTGATCAGGTTTTGTGATAAATTGCTGACAACTGTAAAAAAAGTTTATGTTAGGACTTAGCCATAATGGGTCTGTTATAGGAATAGTTAGAGGGTTATAGTTCAATTAAAAAAAACTATACCACAATATCATATTAGAGTTTAGAGAGCTGGTGCTGCTATCAAGTTGACAAACCTAACAAACTTCATCTGATTAAGACATTGTATTAGGAACTGTTGATACTTTCAAGCACATGGGTTATAAGTGCACTAGCTACTATTTTATATTTTCCCGATATCTAGTTTGTAATGAGCTTTTATAACTAGATGAACTGTTGCTGGTATTTCTGGAGTTTGTTGCAATGAAGAACCTCAGTTATGAAATTGCTATCCTTTTTATTTTTTTCACAGTTAAATAAATGATAAGGTAAAATAATGCATGTTAATTAATTCTCTTGCTGTGAATCATCATATTTATTGGGGCTATAAGGCAAAGGAAAACCACTTAAAAATCTAGATAACTTGCACTGTTTTACTCAAAGATGCTTTGCCTTCTGTTCACACATAATCCTATTTCCTTCCTCCACACTTTTTTCAAATATCAAAATATAGCCCATTATCGAAATGGTGCAGTAACCCAGAAATAATAACAATTATTTTAATATTTTAGTACCTAATAGAGCAAGCTTAAGTTTAGGTTGGAGTGCTCTGACATGTGCAATTACACTGCTGGCCTGCATAACAAAAATAAGGACAACGAGACATTTGTCATCTCCATGTTCTATGAAATTGTTTCTTTGTGTACTTTTGGACAAAGCTACTCTCTGGTGCAAGGAGTGAGAAGGGACAGAGAGCAAACAGCTGATGTACATTCCAACTCAGTTCACGGACACAGTAGCCAAACAGAGGGAACTTTGGATCCATTAGATCAGTGTTTCTCAATATCAGCACCTTTAAGATATGTGGATTTCAAGTCCCAAAATTCCCCAGGCAGCCTGCTGGCTGAGGAATTCTGGGAGTTGACATTCATACATTTTAAACTTGCTGAGATGGAGAAACTGCATTAGATTCTAAGCTATTTTAGCCAGATACACCCTAGCCACATGTCTGGAAGCTTTCTGGCGACTGGAATTTCCTGACCTCAGAAAAAAAGCTAATCTCACCACTGACAAGGAAAAAGGATCTGATATCAGGTTTCTTCCTCCAAGGATAGTATTTTCTTTCTGACCACAAAGGCAGACACCAATGTATCTAATGGTCCCTGGAATGCCACCTTGTGTTGGGACCATACTTCTTTTGCTTATCATATATGCATCTTGTTCTTTAATAAAAACTTTATTAAGGTAAATTTATGTTTTTGACATCTTGTGTTGTCATGTTTGAGTAGAATCTAAGCCATGCATGGCTCCAAGAAATATTTCAAAATGTCTTTGTGTGCTGGTCATTATGAGACTTAATGATATAGCATTTCTTCAAACCATTCCAAATTCATAATTGTATTACTTCTGATTTTCATTTTAACCCCTTGCAGATACTTTGCAAAAATTAGGAGGAGCTTCTACCAACAAATGAACGGGAACGGCTGTAACTCTAATGAAACATTGCTTAGAAACTTCATGACAGGTACATTGGAAGCTTTGCAAGTACAGGTTTATTCACACTTATGGAGTCAAGTGGATGTAATTTGTATCAGTTCCAATTTCTGTTTTTATGAGATTTATGGTTTTTATAATTTTACTGTAGTTATGAGTATAACTAAAGTTGTGCTAAAACACCATCAATCCAGCAGATAGACTGATTTCAGTATGAGAATCCTAAAAAGCTGAAATCAATTGGACTTAATTTTGGCTAGAACAAATTATTCTCAGCTAATGTGCATAGAGTATTAAATAATAAAGAACAAATCAGATAATGTCCTGAGACTGGTAGAGATTTATGACATCATTATTCTGCTTTGATTATGTAACATTAGCAAACATTCTATTTATTATAGAATAATTATTTATTATAAAATAATCAAAACTTATTTAAATAAACTAACAGTATTCATTTTGACCTTCAGCCTCCTATGTAAAAGTAAAGATTGTTTCTAATTAACAGGCTTAAATATGCCACTTGGCATAACTGTTAAATATTCTGTACCATACAGCATTCCTGTTTTCAATTTAGGTCAAACTATCAGGATGATGAAAAGAATCGAAGATGGAAGATGAGATGCTCTATTTCACATATACGCCCTCTGGAAGGGCTGGCAAAGGCAACCACTTAAATTAAGCTCAGGTCATCAGACAAGATATTTAATCTATTCCTAAGACAGAAACTTCTACAGCTGAAATCCCTATGGCCTTTAAAGCAACACAATGAACTACTTTGTCGTGTACTCCTGTCAAGTCATGTTAGGTTCCTTGGTTTTTAGAAGTGATATTTCATGTACTCTTATGAGCAAATTGCTCAGAGCAAGGAAAAGTGTTTTGGTTTATTTATGACCTACTAACCTTAAATAAAGAAAAAGAAGAAGTTTTAGCCAATGTGAATGTTCTCAGAAGCCTGGAGATACGAAATGTACATAAAATAAATCTGGCATTTGTAGCATAGACTAGCAAAAGGCTCACATGGCCAATCCACAGGGTTTCTTTAAAAAAGAAGATGGAAACCAGATGATGGAAGAAGTAGGGGTGAAAGTCACTCTTAACCAATAAATAATATAAAATGCAGACTATAGAACTGAAAGTTTAGAAGCAAGCAGAGATTTTCAGATTGTATTCCAGGTGAGAAATAAACAGAAGAATGGATGGTAATACTGAGCTTTCAAGTATGTTATTAATAAAAAGAAGTGGAAATGAAAAGCAGCCAGCTCTGTTGTTAGAAATACAATCTCAAGACCGACAACTAAATAACTCATTTGTCTGATTGATATCATGGAAATAAAATAATAAACTGGGGAAGGGAGAAACTATAGGAAAAAGAAAATAAATATAAATATAAAAAGGAAGAATATAACACCAATAGCACTTAGACTTATATATCAGCCTATAGTCCTTTACAGCACTCTCTGAGAAGTTTACAAATGTCAATAGTGATATATTAACTATGAATCAGGAATCAGGATCTATTCATGTGGTTTTTGATGAATACATACATATACATTTAAAAAGCCTACACATAAAAATAGAAGTGTTGCCTGTTTCTTTAGCTGATTATCATAGTCTTGGTAGTAACCAGAGCAAGAGAGGAAAAATGATCAGGAACTCTCCCTAATGTCTTAGAGAAGGCAATACTCTTTTGTTTCATTTTGGATAAGGAACAAAAATAACCTATTTTTCGTTGGACACTTTAAAGAAAAGGAACAGGAAAAGGCAGGAAATAAAATACCACAAATTATTAAAAAACCAAGTATTTAAAAATATAGAACTGATGGGTTCTTAAAATGTTAGTAACTAATTTGTAAAATTTAAATACCTTGTATATAGTTACATCATCCTTAAACTGTTGACATAAATAACGGAATAAAATTCTACTTTATAAATTCAATCCATATTACTAAGAATCTGTTTTGATTTACATAGCTCATAAAATTGAAATATAAATTCTATACAAAGATAAACTCAAATTTTGAAGATGATACCAATATATGTACATACATGTACATATATTGTACATGGATGGTTTCCAGATTGAATTTAAATCTGTATTAAATTTACAATTATTTTAGACATCAAAGCATACTCCCAGAAATTCACTAGGGATTCTTCCATTGAAGGGATCAGGTAACCTTTCCAGAAAGAGCAATGTCCTTGCAACAATTATATGTTAAATGTTAATTCAGTATACCAAAGAAGAAAAATGTTTTGGTAAAGTTTATTAAGTATTCGTAAGTTGAAATGGGAATTCAGTTAAGATTTGTTTCATTCTAGCTCAATCATTTACAGAATTGTTGAGCATTATGACTTTTTTTTTTTTTTAATTTGATTTATATGCCGCCCTTTTCCGGAGACTCAGGGCGGCTTACAATGCATTAAGCAATAGCAATAGCAATGACATTGCCAAGTATGAAAGAATTGTTGTCAGGTGGCAAGCCCATTGCCTTCAAATTTACATCTGCCTTAGGCATAATTAGGAATAAAATAACAGAATTGGAAGGGACCTTGCAAGTTTTCTAGTCCAATCCCCAGCTCAGGCAGGAAACCCTATACCAGGGCTGTGAAACTCCCGGCCCATGGGCCAGATGAATCATGCACTGGCCACACCCACACCCTGTTTAGCAAAGGGAGGAAAAAGTCCCGATATGTCACGTGACAATTCTGTGACGACATGAGTTTGACACCCCTGCCCTATACCATTTCAGACAAATGATTGTCCAATCTCTACTTAAAAACTTCCAGTGTTGGAGCATTCACAACTCCTGGAGGCAAGTTGTTCCACTGATCAATTGTTCTAACTGTCAGGAAATTTCTCCTTAATTCTAAGTGGTTGTCTCCTTGATTAGTTTCCATCCACTGCTTCTTTGTCCTGCCTTCAGGCGCTTTGAAGAATAGCTTGACTCCCTCTTCTTTGTAGCAACCCCTGAGATATTGGAGCCCTGCTATCATGTCACCCCTAGTTCTTTTTTTCATTAAACTAGACATACCCAATTCCAGCAACCATTCGTTATATGTTTTAGCCTCCAGTTCTCTATTAGGCAATAATACTGTCAAATATTTATTGCAAAAATGTGTATATACAAGAATAAATGCACAAGTGTTACAAGAGTTAAAGATGTCAATTTGGAGCCAGTATTGTAACAGCAGTGTTATTTTTTAGATCTAACAATGGACTATACTTATAATTTTGAGTTTACATTTGGTTTGGTTTATTTTATTTTAATAGAGTGACACATTGCTCTGATGTAATATTTTTCTTCAGAGATTTATGGATATTTTTCTCTGTGTTTTTAAATCCCCCAACAGGGAAAATTTAGATTTTTCTTTAGATTAAATATAGTGCAGCAGTGCTTTGTTGAGAATTCCTCAGTAGATGGATTTGATAATAAATGTTGTAGAAACAGTGATTTTTAAGAAGAATTAATCTACCAAATTAGAAATAATGTCTTTTTAAAATTTTCCTTCACTTTAGAAATTTAAGGATGGATACTGTGAAGGCTTTGGAATTCTGCTTCTTCTGGTTGCTTCAGTGAACATTCAACGCTGTCGGTGAGTTTGGGATTAAAGTGAAAACCATCGACCGTTGATTGTACCCTCCAGCTAACCATCCTCCTCATTGCTTCATGCGTTCAGAATTTCACTGAAGATAGCCATAAAGCCAACACCCAAGATGATTTGTTTGTGTCTTCCCTTACAGAATTAGGTCCGCACAAAAAAGGTCACAATCAACATTCATTGCTGTCGGTGGGTTTAACTTTGTGGACAAGCTCACTGAACAATGAATGCAACTGTGGCCCCACTTTTTTCAGTCACAACCAAGAAGAATATTGCTTTTGAATGTAGCACCTGAAGTGGATAACTATGAGTGAAAGCTTTGGATCAAGAGACTGAGTTACATTCCAGCTGTGTGTTTAATATATTTGTTTTTGTTTGTCTGACGAAGTTAAGGAGTCGGGAAATGCAAAATGCTACCCATGGCGTTTCATTATGATATAGCAAAAAAGTGTGCTCTTTTTCTCTACTAACTGTTAGCTGGATTACAGATTCTCCAAACAAGAAAAGAAAACATGTCAAATTGAGAGATAAAATGAGTTTATCCAACTTTGGTATGATTAAACCCAGTAAGTCTTATAGAACAAATGATTATTGCTAAAATCAACTTTTAATTTCTTTCAGTTTCTTGCAAAAAGTCCTTACACCTATTCCAAATTCTAATATGGCACAACTAATAAAATCATTTTTGAAATTTACATTCACTTTAACTTTGTTGTACCACAGATAATCATGCCATTCAAATCTTAATTCATGACCTTCCAATATCCAAAACTCTCCTGTTTCTTAAAGTCATCACTCTTTCATCCAAACTAAACAGTAAGTACCAATAAAGGAGAATATTTGTAGCTCAGGGTTAAAATAAGGGGGATGTCATCTGATGTTAACTTATGATGTTATCTATTTTGGGTAATGAAACATCTGCAAAAAAATAAATAAGTTTCAAAATGTGGTAAACCTAGTCCCCCTCTTTCTTTGGTGTGCATAGTGAATGTTCAGCTGTATGGTAAAGCCTTCTGATTGGGACAGACATGCATAAATGAGCTCTCAAAAAACAGAAAGGAAGATATTTAGTACCTTGGAGTTTTGGATTTTCCATATTGACAAAAGATTATTTAAATTTTGTTCTATAATTACATCCTTTTTGCAATTCATAGATCAACTTACATGTACTAGGCATCAAAAGTTTGCATCTGCATATATTATTCTAATTTCTATTGAATATTTTGTTTCAATAATATAGATTCCTCATTTTCCAATAGCTAGTTTCTTTTTCATTAGAGTATTGACAACAATAAACCCTTGCCAAAAGACATTTTTCTTTTAAAAAAAAAAACCCTATGAGATCTTTTTGTTCTTGTAAGATTCAAAGCAATACTTTCTAAGTGAATATAACAAATTAGCACACAAGATAGTTAATTTCAGAACATAACACATATGATTTTAATTACCACAAAAATAACCTACTGTACACTGATGCAGTTGTAATTATTTTTAATTATCTCTTCTTTATCATAGTAAAGGAATCAAAGGCAGGCACTGAGACATCTTAAGAAGAGGAATATTTGCATAGCTAAGTGAATGTTAGCTAAGTGAATATCAGATTGAAATACTGATATTTGACAGTAGTTCAATTTCTAGAAGGGAAATTCTGGGTATAAAGATAGTTATGAATTTAAAAATGCATATTAAAAAAAGAATGTGTATTTGTTCTTTATTCTGTCATTTAATCTGACCAACTAAATATTTAAAATATTACCCTTTCAAGTGATTTATGTCTCAAGCTGCATAGTATTTCCTGCTATGTATGATAATATTAAAATGAAAAACTCATTATTGTGGAACAAAAAAAGGGACAACCTGTCTTTAGAGCTGCTGGGGAATATGTTTACAATTTCTCAACACAGTTTATTTTTTACTAGCTCTGCCAGAGGACTCGGCAGCAATTGTCATTTGCACTGTGGGTACTTCAGTCATCTGTACACAGACTAACCGCACGCAGTTCACAGGACCTTTGGAGAGTTCAAGTTATCCCTGAAGCAGCAAAATATATTTAGAATCAGTGCCAAAAGACAATGCCTGCTTTGAAGCCATCTCCATTTTGTCCTGAAAGGGACAAGATGGCAGATGTTGAATTTCAGCTTAAACTCCACAGGTAAGTTTGTGGCATTTAAACCCATGAATCCACAATAATGTCAGAATAACATAGTAATCCCAGATTTAGAATCTTTAGAGGAAGTTATGAAAAAGAAATTTGCCAAAGGTATGAACTTTAGCAGAGGTTAAAAGAGGTGACAATCCAGGAAAGGCTTCTGATTCATACAGCAGTATTATGAGAGGCCTGCATATTTTCTTGGTTCTTTGCTCATGAAATATAAAGGCCACTTCAATCAATACTTCCAAAAAAGCATGAAGAAAGCAGATGCTCTAATTGCTTGGCATTAAAATCTGGGGTACATGACCTCTAAACTGGAACTTACAGGCATTGCTAGACTCCTCTATAAATATGGTTATTTTGTTTACAAGTTATCTTAGACATGGTTTTCTCCAATTTTTGAATTATATGGTGTATGAAGAAATATATAGTCCTGAACCTACCTCCAAAGAGCATTACTGACTATTCCCACAATTGAGGTATTCTGAAAAATGAAAGTCTATTTTTAGTAGAACTTAGAAACACCCATCTAAATCACTACACAGTAACATTAGCCATTTACACCAAAAGCTTTCCTTGTCCAATAACCTATTTTCCACAGTGATCAACCACATTTTTCTAAGAAATTTATGTGAATATAATGTTCATGTTCTCCAACGTTTGGTATTCAAAGTATATTGCCACTGAAAGATAATAATTTATTAACCTTGATCTATAGTATATATGCAGTTAGTGACAAATTACTCTGAATCTGAAGTATGAATATTTGCATAATATTTTTTAACTAAACCATGATGGTACAGTGGTTAGATTGCAGTATTGCAGGCTAACTCTGCCCACAGCGAGGAGTTCAATCTGACCGGCTCAAGGTTGACTCAGTCTTCCATCCTTCCAAGGTTGGTAAAATGAGGATTCAGATGGTTGGGAGCAATATGTTGACATTTATAAACCACTCAGAGAGTGCTGTAAAGTACTATGGGCCAGAATATAAATCTAAATGCTATTGCTATTTATTTATTTATTGTACTAAGTACCGTATATAGTCAGATTTGTAAATAGGTGTAAAACTGTTCCATTCTTATATACAAACATTGTGCCTTGTGGGTCTTGTTTTTAAAACATTTTCTAGCAAAGCTGAAGAACATGCTTTCAAAATAAAATATATCCAAATATTTCAAAATACA